TACAGACTGGAAGGAGCGGTGCTTGAGAGCAGCCCTGCGGAGAAGGACCTGGGGGTCCTGATGGATGAAAAGCTTAACATGAGCCAGCAGTGTGCTCTTGGGGCTTGGAAGGCAAATGGTATCCTGGGCTCCATCAGAAGAGGGGTGGCCAGCAGGGACAGGGAGGTGATTGTCCCCCTCTACTCTGCTCTTGTGAGGCCCCATCTGCAGTACTGCGTCCAGCTCTGGAGCCCCCAGTGCAGGAAAGACTGGGAGCTGTTGGAGAGGGTCCAGAGGAGAGCCACAAAGATGATGAGGGGACTGGAGCACCTCCCCTATGAGGACAGGTTGAGGGAGCTGGGTTTGTTCAGTCTGGAGAAAAGAAGGCTGTAGGGTGACCTCATTGCAGCCTTTCAGTGCCTAAAGGGAGCCCACAAACAGGAGGGGAATCAACTCTTTGAAAGGGTTGATAAGGGCAGACAAGGGGAAATGGTTTTAAGTTGAGGGAGGGAAGATTTGGGTTGGATGTCAGGGGGAAATTCTTTACAGAGAGAGTGGTGAGGTGCTGGAACAGCTGCCCAGAAAGGCTGTGGATGCCCCATCCCTGGAGGTGCTCAATTGGATGGGGCCCTGGGCAGCCTGGTCTGGTGGTTGGTGGCCGAGGTTGGTGGCCCTGCATGTGGCTGGAGGTTGGAGATTCATGATCCTTGAGGTCCCTTCCAACCCTGGCCATTCTGTGATTCTGTATTGTTCTACTTGATGCAGCCATAAGACTTACGGGTGTTTGCAGTTCTTGTAGCTCCCAAAGTCCTTTCCTATTAATTTAAAAATTTTTTTAGGAATTTGGTTATGAAATTCAGAAGCAGAATTTCCTTTAGGGGTCAATTGAACTTTACTACTATGTTTGATGTTGCATGGCCTGGGTAAGCTAGTATCTGAGTGAGATTCCTCCTGGGCAACGGAGGAGAGTGGATCAGGCTTAGCAAAGACATATGATATATGTTAAAAAAATCTGAACTGAAAGTATAATGCTGTCATGTTTGGAGAGATAATGTTTTATACCAAAGAATACATGTAGTATGACTAAAAGATTTTAGATTAGATTAGGTGAGATTAGAATTGTTTATTTTAAACTGTGAGGTTATTCACCAAATTTCAGTGATTTATTTACTCATATAGGGGTATATTTGCTCAAGAAATCTTTTTTTTTTTTTTTTTAAGGTTGAAAATCATTCAGAAAGTTCAAATTGTTGCAATTTCAGTTGATGGGTTTAAAATTATATAGTTTGTTTGTTTGTTTTGGTTTTTTTTAGACCTTAACTGAACTTTTCCATCATTCTTTAATAGGCTCCTTGGAGCAGACTTGTCTGCTCGGGCACATCTCATGCTATGGAACACAGGTTATTTTATTGGAACATAAATTCACTAATGGTTATTTGCAATTTTAAGTGGCTTAAGGCTATGACCTTTTGGACAGCATGGTGCACCAGATTACCGTGTCATTAATTAATTTGGAAAAGAGAAACGCATAAGCATTTCCAGCAAAGGATTTGATCCTGTTTAAATGGCAATATTAAAATACTGATCACAGTGATAAAGTGTTACTTGAAACAAGCTGTGTTCTCACAGCTGCTAAGGAACAATTTCAGTTTCCAGTTCTGAACATTACAGCTTCCTATTTGTACAAGTCATGGAAGGGTAGGATTTGACCCTGATAGATCTGCTCATTTCTGTTTCAAGGCAGAGTGTGGCTTTTGTTTAACATTTATAGAAGTGTTAAAAAAAAAAAAGAAAAAGAAAAAGAAAAAGAAAAAGATGTTGCTTATTAGAAACAGCTTTCAGGGCCAACTGTGACAAATTTCAGTCACTGCATGGTATATTTTCCTTTCCTGGAAAATGGCTACCTTTGGAGTCCCAAAGTTTGCTAAGTTTGTCATACCACTTTCTGTTGTTTTCTGAGCTACTTGTTTCTTGCTGAATGGTCTGTGTCCAAGGCTGTTCTGGGACATTGTCTTGCTCTGACACTCATGCCTGGCCCTTCAGGCTCTGTTTCCAATTTGCTTCAAGATCTTATCAGGCCTTTCCTCTGTGGAGAGTCTCAGCTGCTACTAAAACTCCTATGGTACTCCCATAACTGTTACTAATATGGTATCTCCTATAATTTCCATCTTGATGGGTATTAAATGCGAAGGAGCAATTGAATTTGTAGGTTTAATTCTGCTATAGATCAAGCTTTTTCAATGGGGATTGTATGGGAACTGCTGAATCATGGCCTCAACCTTTGATTGATCACCAGAGGCGAGCAAGGAGTCAGCCCTGGGAGCACAGGTGAAGGCAATCCACCCGTCTGCTGGAAGGTCAAATTGTTGCAATTTCAGTTGATGGGTTTAAAATTATATAGTTTGTTTGTTTGTTTGTTTGGGGTTTTTTTAGACCTGGCTGCACCTCTCCTAGACCCATTTAAGAGCTGACTACCAGGGGAAAGATCTTTTTCTGGTGATCCCTCCTTTGGAGTTTCGTAGTGACCCAGGACAAGGCTAAGCATTCTATCTGTTCTTGGATTGCAAGACCTTTGACGTCCTTATCTCTAAATTGTAGAGATATGGCTTCAGAGGGTGGACTATTTGGTGGATAAGGAGTTTGTCAGAAGGTCGCAGCTGGAGTTGTGGCAAATGACTCCAGGTCCAGATGGAGGCCAGTGATGAGTGGTGTCCCCCAGGGGTCCATCTTAAGACTGGCACTTTTTAACATCGCTATCACTGACACAGATGATGGGATCAAGTTCACTCTCAGCAAGTTTGCAGATGACACCAAGCTGAGTGGTTCAGGTGGTAGGACAGAAGGAAGGGATGACATCCAAAGGGACCTTGATAAACGTGAAATGTGGGCTTTGTGTAAACCTAATGAGGTTCAACAAATCCAAGTACAGTGTGTTGCACTTGGGTTAGGGCAATTCCATATATGTATTCAAACTGGGAGAGCACTTTGAGAACACTTGGCCCTCCCAAGAAGGACTTCGTGGTCCTGCTAGATAAAAACTTAACATGAATCAGCAGTGTGCTTGTACAGTCCAGAAGGACAATGGTATCCCAGGCTGCATTAAAAGAGAGGAGTGTGGCCAGCAGAGAGAAAGAGGTGATTGTCTCTCTACTCTGCTCTTGTAAAGATCCATCTGGAGTACTGAATCCTTGTCTGGGTCCCACAACACAGAAAAGCTTTTGGAGATGGTCCAAAGGAAGACCATGAGGATAATCAAGGTGCTGGAGTACCTCTCCTACAAAGACATGATAAAGGAACTTGTCATATTCAGTCTGGAGAAGGCTTCAGGAAGACCTCATTGAGGCCTTTGAATATTTAAAGAGAGATTATGAACAGGAGGGAAATCGACTTTTTACATGGGTAGACAGTGGTAGAACAGGGTGGAATGGCTTTAAACTAAAGGAGGGAGATTTAGATTAGCTGTCAGGGGAAGTTTCATCACTGAGATGGTTGCCTCAGAAAAGCTGTAGAGTATGCGGAGGTGTTAAAGGCCAACAGGATAAGGCCCTGCGCAACCTGATCTAGTGGTTAGCAACTCTGCCCATGGCAGAGAGGTTGACCTTTGAGCTCCCTTCCAACCCAAGCTACAATTCTACTTTTATTGGTGATAATACTAACTTCAACATAACTAGCTTGCTATGATTTCCTTTCCCATATATCTGTGATGTCAAATACTCTAAATATGACAACACCTACATTAAATTTTTTTTCAGTTGCACGGAATTATTTTGTCACTTTTTTTTATGTCACTGACCCTTCATTAATGCAGTATTTGCACGTAGGCTAGATCTTCCAAATGAGAAAAAACCAAGCTTACCCCCCAAAAAGATAGAGAAACTCAAAGTTAATTAGATGTTATGCACATGTAGAAGCCTTGCTGATGCATATGTAATAAATATTTCAGTTCATATGAAATAAAATAAGAATATAGCCCTTTTAGGTACAGTTGTGGTCACACCACAGTGACATCTGTGCTATTTTTTCCATTTGTTTCTGGGCTCTGCCAGTGAAACCCTGGGAATTTCCCCAAGCTACATGTCATGTTTTGACAAGAAGAATGCTAATCTTGCTAATCTGCCATGCTAAATACTAATTTTGGTATGGTAATTTACCATACTATGTGTTGGTAAAAGTACTTCTGTATCTTCTTTATTTTTATTCTTTATTATTACATATGAGATTCATGTTTGATACATTTAAAAATATTTCTATAATAAAAATTACATCCACAGAGGTAAACAAGAGGAAGATTCTGCATTCAAAACCCCAAATCGTGTTGGAGTGCAGTAAAGTAACTGTCATTGTTTTGTGATCTTTGGTTTTTGGTATTCCACATCATAACATCATGTAGTACACTGGGAGTTTAACTGTTAATGCTCAAGTTCTGGGTACCTGTCTGGAAGAGAAGAAGAACTATGTTCCTCAGGGGGCTTTGTGATCAGAGAGGAGATACAACTCCTGGCAAGGTCACCTGATTTCCTCTTCTTTGTTGGCTCTTCTTTGTCTCCCTGCTGCTCAAGGACTGTACATCTCACCTCAGCGTTATGGTGAGGCCCATCCACCTTTCGGACATTCTCTCTCTCATTATCTTTGATTTATTAGCTTCAGTTCTAATTATATTGTATTACGGTGTGTTATCTTGCATTCCAATACTGCATTTAGCAAACTAGTTTGTTTCTCCTCAGTTGCTGCTGTTTTTAATTATTTTGGGGTCCCCTGTTTCCCTTTTCTGGAGGTGCAGACTTTGTGAAATCCCTCTGCCCCGCTACTCACAGAACTGGGCCCAACCAGCCCATAAACCATTGACAGTAACTATCATGTTAACAGTTTTTTTTTCCTCTGATCTCATTTATTTTATAGAAAAAAAAACATGGAAAAAAAACGGAGTTAAAACACTTTCCAAAGTGTTTTCAGTGTTTTTGAATAATGAACTGAACTTTCATTTATTAAATACAAAATAGCAATAAATTACAATTGCACAATTTCTTACAGAGTTTTTATTAAGATCAAAATTACTTGTTCAGACTAGATTTATATAAATAGATCACAGTACATTTTTACTTGTGTTTAGAAGATTGTAGTACATATTACAAAATTAAGAAATTTTTTGTCCCTCAAACCATCACTGCGAAAAGAAATCATGCATTATTTTTACTAAACAAAAACAAAAAACAAAAAAAAAAAAAAAAAACAAAAAAAAAACCCACCTAGTTGAGAGAGCCTCAGTACAGGAATGGCTCTGCTCTTGAAAATTAGACATGAAACAGAGATACCAAGCCTATTTATTGAACAGGAAATAATAAAGTACAGTACAATGTTCGTGTTATTAAAAATGAAAGTACACAAAAACAACACAGCTCTCTTCACACACCTTTGCAAGGGGCATTAAAAATGACAGCTGGCCAGCATGCAACTGAGTAGAACAGTCCAGTTTTACAATGTCTAAGTGAGCAATGGAAAGACTAACTAAAAATCCAGACAAAACAAACAACCCAGATGCTTACAAGTTCTCATGTCACCTTCCCTTCCGTACCCTGTGTGCTGTGCTCAGTCAGCAGCTGAGTATGTCCTGGTGATACCTCTCCTGAATGGTGTCTCTTTCTGCCACCTGGACTAGTGCATTTCATGGCCCTTCAAGGAGGCAGAGGTCCTTTGGGGACTCTGGAGGACTTCAGCCAGAGTTCCTTGCACAACTCACTGTATTAGATGGTGACTCTAAAAGCAGCTCAGCTGAGTGTGCTGTGCTCTTGCAGAGTAATTCACACCTTGCATAGCTTGATTCATGAATCATAAGGCTGTCACTTTGGAACAGAATTGTGGTTGCAATCAAGGCTTTCCAGTACTTACAGCAAGTATCAAAGTGAAGTTGTTACAGAGTCTGTCCTGCTCCTATTTTCCTCAGCATGGAAGCTTATGTTAAATTCTACAATGTGGTGGATAACTTTCTCTATATGCTTTTTTTTTTTCTTTTGGAACAAGAAAGCCATTGTTTTCTCAATTGATACTGAGTTGTAAATATTTTTAAATGCATTGTTCTAACGGCAAGAAAACATTTTATTGATAACACTTCATGCTGACTTACCTACTGTGTGATTCCTTTGTTGTTTTTTTTTTAAATTCTTTCTGTTCAAATAAACCCAAAATGCATTAACAGTAATTCAATATTATAGATTTCTAAGTGGGTCAAAAAGATTCTTCAAGTAAATTTCCAGTCCTTTCTCCCTTTCCCTTTATCATTTGTTCCTTTTAGACTAGAAGAGAATAAAGAGAACTTTTAAGAGTTTTATTATTACTATTACTTTTTAATAGCAAAGTCCCCTTAATGCTCTAACATTGCCAGGTGACAAAATTGTCAATTTACCTTTAGGTGCCAAGTGTTGATATAGCTTTGTATAATGGTTGGAGTTTAAAAAGTGAAAAAACATATCAACTACTCCTCAAACCAAACATAGGTTCAACTAAGATAATCTTTCTTCTCGTTCTTTTCTGCTGCCCTTTGCTGTTGTACTAGTTCTGCTACTGGCAGCTGCATTGCCCGCCTATATAATAAGTTTGCTGTCTTATGTATCAGCTGGTACAGAATGCTGAGGTGTACTGACTGGCAGGAATAGTATGAGAGGTGGATCTTTTTTCTATGCTTGCTTTTTTTTTTTTGTCTTCTAGTCCCTGCTTCTGCAGGTTGTAATTCATGTATGGTTGGTGTATTGCCAGGATTATTTACGGGGGAAAATGATACTCAAAATCCTCAAGTGCTTTTAATACCTTGTGACTTCAGCGAAAATAAAGGAATTTCAACATTCAGCTGCAGAAGGGTTGTGCTTGTGAGTGTTTTAGCCCTGGAATTTCACACGACAGCCCATTATAGCCTGCTTAGTATCAAAACCTTGGAAAGCTCTCACTTTTTTTCATAAAAAATCTATCTGAAATTGTGGCTTCTTATGAAAAACTAAGAGTTTAATAGAATATTGTTAATGAATAAAGTGGGATTAAAATCTTGCTGAGATGCATTTCTAGGGGATTTCCCTTTTTGCTTCAGTAACACTTGTGATACAGCATAATTGTGTCTTCACAGGAAATAAAACAAATGAAGGTTGGAGGTTTGGAGTTATTCTTATGAGCTGTTCTACTAATTCACCACTGGGAATTATAGTTCAGCAAAGAGAGTGACCAGTACTGGGATCACAGTACTGCGTTTCCAACTGGTGTTCTAGCAGTAGATGCTCTGTTATGTCCAGTATTGCTATTGCCTGGCTCACCAGAACTGTAACATGGGTCTACTGAAGGTCTAGGGAGTAGTATAGATTAAGTTGAGTCAAAAGGTGAAGAGGGAGAAGCACAGAAAACAACTACTGTTCCACTTATGCACTGCTATGGAAAGGCAGATATTTTTATAAAGCACGAAATAATGCCATAGCCTGTGTAACAGCTTGTAAGTCATGAGTCAGAGAGCAAGAATTAGGAAAATTAAAAAAATGAAAAATAAGATTTTTCTTTTCTTTGTAAAAGAAATATTTCAAACTGTTTTCAAAATCATTCTCTTGATGCCAGCCCCTTGAGCATTAAATGAACTGAGTATGATAATAAAATAAAAAACATTAGCAATTACAATGACACTACTTTTCTGCTGACGCCCTTTTGAGTCACTTGAGGCAAATCTGAGAAAGATTTCTGCTCTGTTCCATGGAGACAAAATGAACTAGCTGCAGAGGTCTCTTCATTCTTACAGAAGCTACTGTTCATAACATTGCCCTGGTAATAGCCATTGCAGCGGGACAGCATGCAGCTGCCTGCTTTGCCCACGTGGGATTGCATCTATGCTGATTTATCCAGGAAATCAAAGATCTCCACTTACAAGGAAAAGGTCCTCCTCCTTTGTTCGTGCTTATCTCCCCATGTTGGCTCCTGGGAGATGTGCCTGAGTAAAGAGTGCAGAATTTTGCCTGAAGTGAAGATCATACACGAACAGGTATGAGCACTGTATTACATCACTGGTCTGCTGACATAAGGCTTCACTTGAGCATGTACTGAAATACATTTGCTAGGGCTACTTTGTATTTTTTTGTTCTGGATGTGACCTGTTACCAATCTGAAATTTTGCTCAGGCGGGCTTTAACAGTTGTTGAGTTTGCCAGGAGTGTCCTTGTATGTGATAGCTAAATTCTTCATAGCATAGCATGACATTTTATTTTTATTTTTTTATAACAACTGTACTTTTAAGACTTCTGCTTTATAGCCACACTACACATTTAGAACAGATCCAAGATCTTCTGCAACCATTAGGCTGTGTTTTTACCTGTTAACAATTCTGGTTTTCTGGAAGATCCTCAAATAACAAGTTATACAACTTTTTTTTTAATAAAAGTTGCAAATATTTTCTCGATTTTTTTACAGTCACACATGTGTCAGCTCAATTAGAAACTGAAAATGGTGAGCATTTAACACATACAAGATGCAAAACAATGTTCATGTGCATAAACTTACCTGAACAGTATATACAAAGACAAGGGCTACCTACCTGTGTTTAGCAGGCTACTAGATTGTATAATACACACATAATTTGCATTTGCCCTTTTAAGGTAAAGATATTGATGTAAAATCTTGATTCAAAGTCTCTCTATGAAAAAATTAAGGAAGAGTTAACCCTATGCATGGATAAATAATGAGCAAAATTTATCCGAGGGACTGTTGTTCCAGGACCTAGAGTTCATTATGTGAAGGAATTCAGTGCTTTGCTTTGATTTTTATTTTTATTTTTAAAATGGTCAGAATTCATTAGCATTTACAATGTACAATCATTTAAGGTAGCCCTGTCAATGTTAGTTCTACTACAAATAATAGTCTTCACAGACATTATATAGGTTTGGAGTGGCATTTTAAAATGGTGTGTGTGTGTGCTTGTGTGTATGATGAAAGAAAGCCACCTGTGAGATTCTTCCAGCCCTTCACAGTGTTATGGACACAGTGAAAAGCAGTGACTGGAAAATCATCTAATAACACCGAGGGCTCCCAGTCTCCATACTACACAGATCCTTATCTTCTTTCTAAAAGAACACGCTGTCATTGCAAAACACTGTATGTATCTTGTCACCCAACAGAACTTTTTACAGCTTTGAAGGATTTGAAGCATATCTGCAAAGGAGTGAATTAGTCTTGTTTTCATGTCAGGTGAAAGGAGACATGGAGATGAAAGATACAACTCACCATCAAAAAAGTCTGATGACAGTCATTCTTGGGAAAAAATGACTTACATAGCTTTACATTTACAATACTGCACTTCTTTTTTCCTTTGCAAATACAATAATCATATTTAAAGCTGGCTCCAGTATCTGTTGTTTTCATTGCTGTCATGTTGCTTGTAAAACCTGGGTTATTCTAATGAGCAAAACATTTGACTTGAATTTGGGTAATGCTTATGACCATACAAAAAATCTATCAGTAGCAATAGTGTCAGCTGGAGAACTAATGCTACAAGTGGATAATATTGCACTACTCAAAACCAATAGCTCTTCACACAGTTGAAGACTGAGGGTTCTATTCAGCAGTATTCAGGGTCCTATGGTTGTGGCCACAGAGGTTCCAGAACTCTCGCTGAGCCTAATCCTGATTCAGGAACCAAAATGATATGCTGTGTATATATTTCTCTGCACAGCCTGGATGCGCTGGATACCCTCCCCCACTTGATTCCTGGGAAGGGAAAAAAAAATTAGTCTCTCTTTAGCTCCGTGGCATGAAAAGCAATTCACAGCAATGAAATCTAAAGAAGTTAGCAAGGCATGTATGAAAAGAACAGGTTGCCTGCAAAAAAGGGAAGAGCTGTCAAAACCTGATTGTGGGCTCTGGCTGCAATAAAACTTATCAAAGAGGGAAGACAAGTTTGATTTAAGGATGTAGCCAACTTCTGCTAAGGGACACTTTTCATTTTGTAGGACATAATAACTGTTATAGTGCTCCTCATGTGTTCCCTTGGTCCGTTCCTATCAGGGTTTGGTTACAGCTGAGAGCTCAGTGATGTTTTTCTAAACTCAACTCCCAAATGCCCAGGCGGGAATTTCAATTGTGGCACTTTTGCCAGGAGCTAACTTTTGAATGAGGGCACAAAAAGCTGGGCTCCAGACTTAGCTTGATCTTCCTTCACAGCCATGCTTGTCTGTTGGTATCCCCGTTCTCTCACAGTGCTTCCCTGCTGCAACGGGCTGGGAGTGATCGAAGGTCTCCCTGTTGAAAATGTGCTTCTGTTGTCCCCAGGAACCAGAAAATGTAATTGATCATGGAGACAGACAAGGCTGGAGTATTTCTGCCATTTTGTAACATCTTCCTGTTGTGTGACATTTAACTTATGGAAAAACCTAATGCTGGTGCTTGCAACCAAGTCAAGTCTTTAGTTGCATTCTGGTCACTAGTCTACACTGCAGAAAGTGTCTGTCAGCTGCCTGCCTCTACATATCAGGTGCTTATGGCATTGCACATGGCTTAATATGTTATTTTTTCTTTTCTTTCAGCAGACAATTGTGACTGTCCATAAATATAGTAGCTTCTCCTGACTGGGATTATTGCCCGACTTCAACCAGTGAGAGTAACCATAAAAATAAACCATGGGAACTCTTAGGAAGCAATTTAGTTAGAACACTGAAGTTTTGTGTCTCATGAATCAAGATTAGCATTTCCTGTATTGGGAAGGGAGAGGATTAAACAGAGGGATTAAAAGGACATCTTTACCCCACTGGACTCTGTGGAATAGCCCCTGAGGATATGGCTAAGAAAGAGTTCAACAGGAATGCCAAATTTCTGCTGAATAGGTTAAAAGGGTGAGGAAGCCTCTTCGGCAGCCATCCAAGCGCAGAAGACCTGCATAACATTTCTGCTGAATAGGGCCCTGAAGACAAAAAACAAAACAAAACAAAACAAAACAAAACAAAAACCATAGGAACCTTGAAATTTTTTTCCTAATTGCGTGGCTTCTTATTAATGCCTCAAATCTCCAGAGAAACTTACACCTTTTTTTTTTTCTTTTTTTTCCCCCTTTTCAGGATAGATAGACATTCCTTGAGATTTGCTAGATGACATAGTCTTACAATAGAAGTAATAGAAGTAATCAGATTAGGTTTTTATACAGTAAAACAATAGGTATTGGTAAACCTTAGGAAGCCCACTTCTTTATATCAATTATCATTGAAAGTTACCCTATCCTATGTCTGAAAAACAAAACAAAAACAACCAAGAAAAAAAAACCCAAACAAATAAAATAAAATCTGAAACCTTTATCCACTGTACAATGTATGTGGCTTTTGTGTATTTATCAAATACATTAATTACTTTCTGTTCCCATGAAATTGAAAGGAGCAGACTTAATTTGCATGTTATCAGTATTGGTGTTTCTGAGCTCTTTTCTAGGCTTTAGGGTATACTTGTGGATCTTGTTTTTTTTTTGTAAAATTTCATCCTATTTCTAATGCCATATACTAAGATTTTAACAGTTATAGTAATGGGAAAGCAAGGAAAAATTCTTACCTCTGCAAGAGGATGCCAGTGGGCAATGGGTTTCCGAGGATATGAGAGCATTTCATTCCAATGGTCACGACCTAGACTTTCTGCATCGTTGCCTACTTGACATACTCCAATGACCTCATTGTGACCTACACTGTGAAAATGTTCCATAATATGCTTTTCATAAAATATTACCTTTAGAATTGTACCATTTGCATATTTCATTGAGGCAGTAATCATGATTTTTTAGATATATATATATAGCATAATGTAATAAAGTGTAAATTACAAGGGTTTGCTCTTTGAATTTTCCACAAATCAAAATAATTTAGTATATTATCCATGGTAGCAAACACTGCGTTTCTAGATGCATTTATTTTATTTTTGTATGAGAAATGTAAATTGTTGTTTGTTTTCTGTAACTAGTTACAAGTAAACTGAGCCAAATTTTATAAACTGAGGCATGTGTCTGAGGGGTTAGTGCAGTTGCTCATAAACAGAAAATCAGTGTGTGAACTGATTGTATGTTCAGTTATTTCTGTTCTGGTAAACACATGCAGCTTAGTTATGTTTGTTATGGATGCAAATCTGCATTTTAAAATTTAGAATTTAGAAATTCTCCCTGACAATGAGACATTTTAGTCTTCCACCTAACTCAGCATGAGAAAATATTTAATTTCCCTTCCATTGCGAGAAAAAGGATAACTTCATTCCTGGATGCAAAACTACTATACCAGATTTTGAGATAATGTTATTTTACAGCTACAGGTATCTCACCGGTCGTAATCCATCACAGCTATCGACAAGTTAATTTGGTCAATGTTTTCTGGAGGGACGTCAAAGACTATGGCTTCATTGTAAACGGGATTAAGGGTGTTCCTCTTGGTGGAAGTTTTTCTTTTCTTTAGTCGCCTTCCTTCACACATTAAAGAAACCTTCACGTAGGGATCTGTGTGAATCATAAGAACAACGCTGGTTTTCTTTTGTTGTTTTTTATGAAAAGATAGATGGAAAGTAAAGGCAGTATTCTTGTGTGCAGTTTGCAGTCACTTGCGTCTGGAATTTGAGCTTCTTTATTACCATGGAATGACTGGGAGACAATGGACATTGGAAAGCTTTACCTGTTGGAAATCCTATAATGAACAATTCAGCTTCAATAAGTTTTTCTTTGGGTACTGACTTCTGAAAGAGTATTAAATTATCCACTGAACTTTGACTGTTTTATACATCAGCCTGTGTATCAGTGTATTTACAACAACGTAATTACTTTTACAAATTTATAGGTTAGACAGAAGATGACAGCATTGTACACAGTATTGATGTATGGTTAAATATAATTCCAAGTGTAAGAAATTGCAGTTTATGTTTCTGAAGAGAATTATAATTATGGATGCAGTGAAAAAGGAGAGGAGAGGAGAGGAGAGGAGAGGAGAGGAGAGGAGAGGAGAGTCATTGTAGATCCTTTTTGGGAGTTCTAGTATGAAAAATGAATCTATGAGCTCTTATTTAATTTAGTTTTTCTTGTTTTCATTAGCCAATTTTGAAACTGTTGTTGAAAGGAGTTTGGGATGACTGTTTTGTCCATATGCCAGCAGCAGCAGAATTGGTTTGGTGTCTCTTGGAGACTGTCATGGGTCAGCTTGCCTCTGTGCCACAACAAATAATCTGTTGTATGATCCAGTCTCTAATATGAAATCAATTTCGCCACCTCATCCTGTTTTGAATCATGCTTGCTTTAGAAGTAATAGTGTTGTTCTCTTATAGAGAGGAGATTGTTTTAAACTGTTAGTTAAACCAGAATGAACATTATTTATTTCTCAGAAATTCCTAAGGAGACTTAAGAGCTTGCAGTGTAAAAACGCTTCTTTTCAAATAACATTCTGGTAATTGACAATACTGGAGTTCTGTGGCTTGGGAGGGAAATGGGACACTAATCCACACTGAGCATTAAATAAATTCTTACCTGATGCTCCTGTGATATCCATTGCCTTTAAATTTCTTGCTTTTATTATTGTAATAGTTAGTCTACCAGCTGTTGGAAGGTAGCAGAGTGAAAACATCAGGTCACCAAGATCCACATTATCCTGTTCCAAGGAAACAGAAAAAATATGAAGCAATAATAACAGTTTTCCCTAGACATAATCTGTAGGACATAAAGGTAAATTATACCTTTGAGAATCTACATTTCTGTAAGCAGAAGCTGAATTTTCATTCTCAAATGCAGCTGGAAAAACAGAAACCCATATGCACACAAGATTCTAGTCACTACATTTGTTGCTAGACCTTCAAAGCTGTGAAGTGTAAATGTAGCTACAGTTTTCTTTACTCGTACTTGGAGCTGAGACACATTGATGTGATGAGGTGTACCATGAGGTACTGGAACATCTTTGCTCTATGTTTCGTAGTGATTTGCATGTAATGTTGACAAGCTGCAGCAGATCTCTGTGCCTTCTCTTCTGCAGAATCACAGAATCACAGAACAGCCTGGGTTGGAAGGGACCTCAAGGATCATGAATCTCCAACCCCCTGCCACATACAGGGCCACCAACCTCAACATTCAATACTAGACCAGGCTGCCCAGGGCCCCATCCAACCTGGCCTTCAACACCTCCAGGGACGGGGCATCCACTAATCCCTAAATCTTCCCTCCTTCAACGTAAAACCATTTCCCCTTGTCTGCCCTTATCAACCCTTTCAAAGAGTTGATTCCCCTCCTGTTTGTGGGCTCCCTTTAGGCACTGAAAGGCTGCAATGAGGTCACCCTACAGCCTTCTTTTCTCCAGGCTGAACAAGCCCAGCTCCCTCAGCCTGTCCTCATAGGGGAGGTGCTCCAGTCCCCTCATCATCTTTGTGGCTCTCCTCTGGACCCTCTCCAACAGCTCCCAGTCTTTCCTGCACTGGGGGCTCCAGACCTGGACGCAGTACTGCAGATGGGGCCTCACAAGAGCAGAGTAGAGGGGGACAATCACCTCCCTGTCCCTGCTGGCCACCCCTCTTCTGATGGAGCCCAGGATACCATTTGCCTTCCAAGCCCCAAGAGCACACTGCTGGCTCATGTTAAGCTTTTCATCCATCAGGACCCCCAGGTCCTTCTCTGCAGGGCTGCTCTCAAGCACCGCTCCTTCCAGTCTGTATGGATGCCTGGGATTCCTGCGGCCCAAGTGCAAAACTCTGCACTTTGCCGTGTTGAACCTCATCAGGTTCCCCCAGGCCCACCTTTCCAGCCTCTCGAGGTCCCTCTGAATGGCATCCCTTCCTTCCACCGTGCCAACCGCACCACTCAGCTTGGTGTCGTCAGAGGAAATTGCTTGGGCAGGACAAAGTTTTCTGCAAATCTCAATTTTTTGTGAACTCAATTGTTTATTATTTATTAGGCCAAACTCTTATGAAAAAATACAGTGGATAAAGGATTGTATCAAAGGATTTCTGAGATTTTATATGCAATTTTTTCACTGAGAAGTGAACTGGTACCTTCACAGACCTACTGCCTGCAATCCAATATTTCACTTTTCCGTAAGAAGTTTTCCTTCAAATATACGTTCTAGATTGTATAGGGAAGAGCAATAAAGCTCTTGTGGAACATGTCTATCTTGCCTACATAGCTGTGTGGAACAGCTTTTCTCCTTTCTCAGGGCAGCTGCTCCTGTGTCATTGTGAGCATGTCTTCTGAACTGCACTCAGTATGGGGAAAGCAGCACCTACAGCACAGCTTCTGATTTACATGCCAGCCTCCCTAGAGCTTCTTGGAGAGGGGAAGGTAATGGCCCATGTGTGATTTGTACAGTTTGCCTCAGGTTTTTTACATCCATTAGGGAGTCTGTCATTTGGTATGTGGAAAACAGTTCCAGAATATCAAGTGTCAGGGAGAGATGACAACATAACATCAGCAGTCATTCCTTGGCACAAAATAACAGTAAACCAGGTTCTGAAGACAACTGCTTGTTATGATTAAGTGGCATGAGAGTGAATGAATTACTGTAACCATCCAACGTAATTTTATCAATATTTTGAAACGCTGCCTTTTGTTTCAAAATCACTAGTGACATGCTTTGCTTCTACTGGCAAATGCCCAAAGGATGGTTAGAAATAGTTTCCTGAATGGCAACTTACCTGAGAATAAAATAGCAAAGGTTTATTCACCTCTCTTTTTGAAGTAGTTGTACTTCAGAATGCCTGGTATTTGTTGGACTTAATCAGATACTGAGTCTAGAGGCAAGCACTTGGGAATAGGGAGGCCTGGGCTGCACTCCTTGCTATAATAAATAAATCTCAACAGGAAATAAAAAAGCTTCAGAAAAAGTTAATGAGAAAGGACATCACAGCGAGAAGCTTCTTGTCTAAACTAGAAGACATGGGGTATGAATGGAGTTCTCCCACATATATACCCCATTGAGTAATTTGTTAGTGGGAAGAGGATGACAGATTGCTTCCGACAAGTGTTTTCTGAGAACAAGTGGAAGAAGCATCCCACTGAGCACAGCACGTTGTGAAAAGACAGTTGCTGTAATTCTTAATTTTTTTTTAAATCAATTTCACCTCAGATGAACTTTCTGGTCCACTGAAAATATTTGCTTTCTGAATTGATTTTCCTGTAAAACTCAGTCTTGTAGTGAAGTTTGATAGAATGTAGCTGGATGGAAAAAATGATGTTTTTAAATGTATCTGCATAGATTTTGCACCCTTATCCTGGCACTCTTAAACACTCCTCCCTTTCTTGAATTTGACTGGAGCTTGACACAGGAAATGACTGTCAGAAGTGGGATTACTCTTCTACCTTGACTGCTTCACTTATTTCATGAGGCTACTGCTATGCTCTCCCCTATTTAACTAGATATCAGATACTCAGTGTTTTCTGAATAAGGACTGAGCACAGCATTTTGTTTTGAGAAAAGATCAATGCATCTGTAGATAAGAGTCTTTATCAGCTGTGTTTGTGCCAACTCCTATGTCACACATACATGTGCACTTAACCCCCCACCCAACGCACCCCAAATGAAGGATGGTAGAGGGCATAACCGGTAAGTGAAAATACTTTGAAAGAACTCCTAACAAATGTTTGTCTCTGAGCTGCTGCACAGACCAGTGCCCAGAGCCTATGCGCACACAATTCTGAGTTAGTAGGGAGATATGCAAGACAAAGAATGGTGGTCACTATCAGAGAAGAAGGTACATCAGAAGGGATTTCAGAAAATATGTGCATTCAGTCAGAAATAGCTCCTTTCCTTCTGCTGTTATTGGAGAGAGCTGCTGTCAAAGAAGGAAAATGCTGATAATAAGGACATTTTGTCAGTAATAACTAGTTTTTAACCCTGGCTGAACTTTCTCAACTGTCATCCCTTTCATTCTAAAGACCAGTGTTTTGTGGTGGCTGTAAAGCTGATAAAGGCCATGACAGTATCAGGATAGCTGATGTGACTCATCCTGTTTAGTGTCTTGCTGTATCGTGCTTGGAAGCAGACCTGCTGCAGCACTGTTTTGCTGACTTGCTTTGTGGCAAGTATCAAAGTGCTGTTTGAAAAGATGACGTTCGGTCCTACAAGCTAAAGTGATATCAGAAATCTGGGAGAAGTTCCTCTTGACTGACACCTCTGCTTAACAGTAGGAAAATTTTAGAGGGGGTAGTTTTTCTTCCCATTGTGAGAAAGAAAAAAATCCATAATTTAAGTGTAGTTCCTCAGCTCCAAGGTGCTAAGATTCCTAGCTGTGGAATACTATCTTCAACTGCTAAGTATGCAACTCGAGGGAACAGAATTTCAGAAGCCGCAGAAATTAATTCTGAGCAATGAGGGGAATTTGTCACTGGCAGATTTTGAGAATGGCTATTTTCCAGTATTCGGCCACAGCTCTTAGAAGAAGATAGCACTGTGAAATCATTCCATTTTTCTTCATCATAAAACCAACCCTATAAGGCACCTTGTTGTTTTAACTGTGTGTTGGAATATTTAGATATTGTCAAACATGGCAGGGTCATTCTTTACGCAGCTCCAGTGCTCCACTTGGTAACCAGCTAAAAAATTTGTATTATTAAAATCATTTTCAGTGGCTTTTCCTGAAAGATTTATTGCCCCTGCCTTTCAAAGACAACTCTTCAAGTATTTCCCCCTGTAAATTTAACATATCATGTCTTTTAAAATGCTGAATTCTAGTGCTCACATTAATAGCTTGTGTGACTATTATCAGAAGCTATTTACAGTTTTAAAAATGGTTTTCAGCAAATAGCCCGAAGGATAAGTCACTGCTTAGTAATGTGTCAGCAGCTCCATGATGGTGCTTAGGTTGTGCGTAAGTCAGCCTGACAAACAGGAGGATGTGTAATCTTAAAGGGAACTTGGTAATGGACCCCTTTAGGGCTTCACGTCTGATTCCTTTGAGGCAGCAATAGGAAACTCAGGCTGTATCACACCTTCTCAGTGGAACCTGATAGTTACCTGTTAGGGAGTTTCTGACAAATGGGAATTACGTTTGGCATCAGACTGCTCTTGTGGACTGATTCCTTTTCTTAAATACGTTGGGTGCAGAGAACAGGTGTGTAAAATCATTCTAAACAAGCGGCAAGAGATGGAAGGTAAAGAACAAATCATAGGTCATAAGTTCTCCCTTTGTCTCCAGTCTTGGTGAAAACATGCTATTGCTGAGTTATACAATCATAACTTTCATGCCCATGTCTCCAGAAAACTATTTGATTTCTGTAGCAAACAAGCTGTAGCGGGCTTGCTATCACACAGTGCCTGTGTCACTCTAAACTATATGCCTCAGTTATGAAGGTTCCTCAGTTCCTCATGTCTGTCTGTCTGTCTATCTATCTATCTATCTACCTACCTATCTATCTATCTACCTATCTATCTATCTATCTGTTCTATTTCCGGTACATTACAAAAATAAAGTGATGCTAATGATGGGTAGTGAGGTGCTCAGATATAGTTTTATCCATCTGATCAGCTTCACCATTAAGAGGAGCACTCAGAGGGAGCAATACCCTTGATGACATCTTTTAAAGGTGCTACTTGCTGAAACAGGTTTTCAAAACACTCACAATTTTAGAGGTTTTACAGATTTTTTTGCTCTGTCAGAAAACTGTGATGTC